AGCACACACATGGAAAGATTCTATTGACGAAACATTGAACGATCCAGGAAGCATCAAAAGAATACACAGCCACTGTACCCCAAAGACCTAGGTGACACCCCACCATTTCTGGGGGTAGCACGTGAGCAAGAATGAGTGGGACTGAAGGGGGAAAAGTCCAGGCTGCACTGAAAGCATGAGCCAAACACAGGGCTCCAGGGACTGACGAACACCCGCTGAAATGTTTCCGCAAGCTGATGACGCCCTGGAAGCATTCTCTCACCTCTGTCAAGGAATCTGGAAGCCAGCTACTTGGCCAGCTGATGGAAGAGATTCAAATTGGTACACACTCCAAAGAAAGGTGGCCCACCAGAACGCCCAAATAATAGAGCAATACCATTAATATCACGTGCAAATAAAATTTTGCGGCTGATGATCCAACATCGGTTTCAGCAGGAAGCAGCCACAGCTTCAGGGTGGACTCGGAAGAGGACATGGAACAAGGAACAGCCTTGCTGACATCAGATGGATCTTGGCTGAAAGCAGAGAATACCAGAGAGAGGCTTACTTGTGGTTTCTTGACTCTGCCCAAGGCATCCCGACTGTGTGGATCGTCACACACCCCGGATAACCTGGAGAAAGATGGGAATCCCAGAGCACTGAATTGTGTTCATGCAGAACTAGTGTGTGGGTCAAGAGGCAGCTTTGGGAACAGAACTAGGGAATGCTGCAAGGTTTAAATCAGGACCGGTATGTGTCAGCGTTGTAGCCTCTCACCATACTTATTCAGTCTGTAGGCTGAGGTCAGGACTTGCCAAAACCAGACCAAACTCGCTGCGATCAGGTTGGCTGTGATTCAGTGAGCCTGCAGGACAGGGTAGAACTGCCCCTGCGGGTTTCCGAGACCGTACGTCTTTGTGGGAATTAAACAGAGCCAACAAGCTGAATGTGGAGGCACTGCCCATCCATGGTGACCCTCTACAGCAGCGATTCTCAACCTGTGGGTCGCGGCCCCTTTAGGGGTCCAGTGACCCTTTCACAGGGGTCGCTCGCCCGATTCATAGCAGTAGCAAAATGACAGTGATGAAGTAGTGATGAAAATCATTTGACGGTTGGGGGGGTCACCACCACATGAGGAACTGTATGAAAGGGTCACGGCATTAGGAAGGTGGAGAACCACTGCTATACAGGGTATAGGGTTTCCGGGACTGTAACTCTATGGGAATTGAAAGCCCGTTTTCCTCCCCTTTATGGGAACAGTAAGCCTTACCTTTCTCCGGAGAAGCAGTCTGGTGGTTTCAAACTGTAGTTAGCTGCCCAACATATAACCACTACACCACCCCAACTTAACCCTGAAACAGAGGACTTTCTCCAAAATGGGGCCGCAGCCACAGACTGCAGAATTACAATCCATCCCTCAAGGAATTATGGCTAGAAGGGTCCACAAAAACCAAACCCATCACCATCCAGCCAGTGTCCAACCCATCGTGACCCAAGGACAGAGTTGAACTGCTCTTGGGGGGTTTCACGAGGGGAGAAGGCATCCTCTTTGTCCCATGAAGTGGCTGGTGGTTTAGAACTGCTGACCCTGTGGTGCACAGCCTGATGTGTACCCACTACACCTCCAGAGCTCCTACAGGGAAGAGGACCTGACTGTCCTCTTCAAGTCCATTCTGACTCACGGACACCCTGTCGGGCAGGGTAGAACCCAGTACATTTCTGAGACTTGAGACTGTAGCTCTTTATAGGAGTAGAAAGGAGCACCTGGTGGTTTTGAACTGTGGACCTTGAGATCACAGCCCCATGCTTAACACTTATACCACAGGGGAAGAGGAAGGCTAGGTTTCTATCGGCAGAGTTAGTGGCAAGGGAAGAGTATTTAGGCCCCCTGGGTAGGTGGAATTCAATAGTTACAAAGGCAGAAGGCCTGGGTGCCCGGGGGTGAAAAAGATGAGCAGAGCTTCAAGTCATCTCTGGCCAGGGTGAGCATGGGGGGGCAGTTTCAAAAGCACCACAGGAACCCAGGATGAGGCCAAGTGACTGGTTTGGCTCAGTCTGAGCTCAACTCCTCACTTCTAACTCATTCTCTGACGTTTCGTCTTTACCGCAATAGCAAACGCCCTCTCCTCCAACTCCTGTGTGTGTTGACGATGTCCGTCTGGCAGGAATGCTTGGTGAGGTGGCGGGGTGGGAGAAACGCCGGCTGTGACGGTTAAGGTTCTGTGTGGACTTGGCTGGGCCCTGACGCTCAGGGATTGGACGGTTGTGGAATGATAGCAGGAGCAGAGGTGGCACACTAGATTATGTGTAGGCTGGCAACCAATCAGGGGTGTGAACCCAGCAGCCACTCTGCTGAGAAAGACAGCCCAGCCCACTTCTGTAGAGGTGGGCACCCCCAGGCCCCTCTGCAGCAATCCTGCTGTCCTGTGGAATGTGCTCTGCAGCGGAGTGAATTGGGCAGTGAGTGGTGGGCACACTCCTCTTCATTTGGAATGATGTCATCTTCCTCCGTGTTCGCATCGGGCTCATGTTTGTCTCCGGAGCCTGAATGAGGAGTGGGGATAGAACACTTCCTGAAGGCCGTGCTTGCCTGCACTCATGGAATCGTCCCAACGGGAGCCTGGGTGCTAATCCCTTTGACAGATGAGGGAATTGAGGTTTTTAGGAGCTAGCAATTTCCCCAGGAAGTCTGGGACCAGGCTCTCGTATTCATCACTGTGCTAGGCCCCCGCAATCCTACTGACCTACTTAACAGAAATCATGTACGTGTGATCGCACACACCTTTACATCGGCTGGCCTCTCCTTCTCCACGAGTTCCCAGACCCTGGGACTCCTGGTACCAGCCTAGCCTGTGACTGTCTCTGTTTTTTTATTTACTCGTAACTCTACTTGGGCTTATCGATACAGACAGTATCATCACACCTACACAGAGGGTATTTGTGATCACTCCAAAATTGTTGGGGGTGTCGTGGGGCCAAACAGTAATTCAAGGTTGCATATGGGGTGCCTCTGAGTCGGGCCCCCCTCAAACATTAAACATGCCTGTGGGCACCTTGCTTTTCTCACACACCGACACCTCGCACCACCACCACTCCCCACTGCATCTTCTCTGCAGCCTGCCTCCACCGCTCTGCACCGATGTCCTTGACTCCATCTAGACCAGGGGAGAGGGACTCTCAGTATCAGCTCACACCCCACGCCTCCCCCAGGATAAAGTCCCAGCCGTCGCATGGGGTGAGTTCAACAAGTGTTTGCCCTGTGTGGCCTGACAGGGGTGTAAGGAATACACAAATGGCCCTTGGTGGCTACAAGGTTCCCTACCCCTGATCTAATCTGATGGTGGCAATTCCAGGCCAGGTCGGAGGAGGGGGGAAAAAAGAAACAGTGCGGCAGCGGGAGGGCAACCAGCTGCATGGACGTCCAGCTGGAAGCCCCGGTCCAGTGGCCAGGAGCCCTCAGCCATCAAGCAAGAATGCTGACTGTGTTGTTGTGAAATCATTTGCATATTGTGAGACATTGGCATACAACGGAGTGATTTGCATACCAAGAGCTGGGCATCTCAGTGGTTAGGAGCAACACCCTTGGGTGCCTTGCTCCCTTTATACAGAAACCACCTCCTAGGGGAGGTGGCGGGGGCTTTAAGGACTTACTGGTCCATGCTGGAAGGAGTAGAGGTTTCAGAAGGGCAGACATTAGGGTGTGAAATGGGATCCCCCCTCCCCTTCCCAGTGGGAGAAAAACAACACCGTGCAGGTAAGAGGGTCAGAGGCTTGGAGACCCTCACTCACACTGTCCCATCCCAGTGAGCACTCCCAGACTCCTGCAGCTGTCCATGGCCGGACCAGACTCCTGCAGCCGTTCATGCTTCAAAGGTGAGTTCAAGGCCACTCAGGTGGGACTCCTCACCCTGCCCTCTGCTGCCATTGTGTGACCTCACGGGCTGTAGCGAGGGCTAAGGGAACATGCAGCAGGTCTGCACCGGACGGCCCTCGCCATCATAATGCTATTTATTGTGTGCTGCCCTGGCCCGGAGCGCGGCGTCGGCAGGGCTGGCGACCCTGGGCGAGGGACGCACAGACCCCCGGCCCTCCTGCCAGGTTCTGGAGTCCCGGCAGGTCTCGCACTGGACCCCAAAGGGTTACAAATCCTGAAACCAAAGTATTAAAAATAATTCGATGAGTAAGAATAAAATTCCCTCTTCTGAGGTTCCCGGGGCCAGGCCCCTCCCTGCGGCAGGCACTTCCCCTTTCCC